CACAATATTATTGGATGTAGCAAATCTACAATAGCAAACATAATTTCATACCACTTCGATCTGAAAGGGCCATCATACGTTGTCGACACAGGATGCAGTTCTAGCCTTTATGCCATGGCCGTTGGTTATGATTATATCATGTCGGGCATATGCGAAGACGCAATAATTGGAGCTTCAAATTTATGTTTTCTTCCCGGTGTAAACCTACAATACGCTCGGCTTGGTATTTTTCAAAAATTAATACATAAGACCGATATTCATAATCGATTCTTATTTCAAGACCGTCTTGTAATGTCATAAGATGGCTAATACAGCTCTGTGATTGGCTCATGACATCTTAAGACTGTACTTAAAATAGTCATATTGTTAAATATAAGAATCAACTATGAATAGTTACTTAATATACAGTAAAATTAAAGAAACGCACTTCTTTTTTCCACAAAAAGTAAAATAAAATTTAACTAATACAAATTTAACTAATTGAGTAAATTTTATAGAAACATTTATAATAAGATTTTTGCCAAAATTGAATAACACATCTTGATAAACGAAAAAGATAAGTCTTTAATTTTTCTGTATATAAACTTATTCTGAATGAACTTTCACACATATTTTTACATATATTTCGTATTTTTTAGGTGCTTTGTCACCCGACGGTTATTGCAGACCATTTGATATTGCTGCAAATGGTTATTCGCGTGCCGAAACGGTGTCAGTGGCATATCTTCAAAAGATGAAGAATGCGAAGAGGATTTATGCCATATGTCCGCACATTAAATTAAACAGTGACGGTTACAAAGAAAATGGAATAATATATCCATCGTCATTTATGCAAAGTACTTTACTAACAGAATTATACAATGAATGTGGAATACCGACATCTTGTTTGGATTACGTTGAAGCACATGGTACCGGTACCAAAGTTGGTGATGTCCAAGAAATTAATGCTATCCATAACACATTGTGTAAAAATAGAAAAACTCCATTAATGATCGGCTCTGTAAAATCCAATCTTGGCCATGGTGAATCTACTAGCGGTTTCATTCAAATAGCTAAGGTAAAACAAATGGCTTCCATTTATATGTATTAGTATAAAATTTGTTTTACCTTTATTTTACGCAATCACGTGTACACAAAAAGAAAAGATTTATTTTCCGTAAATCTTCGAGAAGTTACTCTGTCGTAGAGAAAGTTAATACTGTAAGTTTATATTGATTAATAATTACTATTATTTTGAATATATTATTTTGAATATTAAAAGTATTGCCATTAGTTCAATTATGTATTTTGAGTATTAAAAACTCTATCAATAGCGCTTATACTCAAATTAAATATTTAATTACCAACTAATCAACTAATGTAATACTTACAATATTAATTAACTGAAATGTCTAGCTGTTTTAACAAAAATGTAAGATAAATCGGCCAAGGACGAGCGAAGGTAAAAATGATGAAATCAACAAATCTCGAGTTAATAAAAGGATATAAGAATTCCTTCAGAAATAATTTCTAATAAGACAAAATTAATATATTCTTGAATCTTGATGTATTTAATTTTATTGCAATTTTATAATACAAATTAAAATAACGTTAAGATATTCGATCAATTATTCCTATTCTTTTCTCTCGAAATAAATAAGAGTAATTTATTGTACAAATCTAATCATCTAATAATAAAAACCTAACAAGATTCCCCGAATTAAAAATACAATAAGTAAGGCAGATGGGAATAAACGTGATTATTGGTACGCAATATTTAATTTACATAAAATTTACTTTATTCTAAAAGTCAAACGTTTTGGCTATCTTTTTTAACTATCCCCAGTGTCAATTAACAACAGTTACATTTACCTCTCGCTTTAGTTTCTTAATGTGTGCATTCTTCCACGTCTAGTAAGGAAGCAGTTATAAGTACTCGTACCTCTAATAGTAATTTTCCGTGCAGTTGAAGAGCTGCATGGTCTAGCTGTTTGTTCTCGTACGTAATAAAACACACTTTTCGCATCTTGGCAACGATAAAATTAATAAATAACCTTAGAACATATATACGTTCTAAGTAAATAACAGTAATAAATAAATAGTTAAAATTAACAATGTATATATTTTGTCCAAGTTTTATACATCGTTAATTTTAACTATTTATTTATTAATTATTTATTAATTTTGTCGTTGCCAAGATGCAAAGTGTGTGTTTTAT